AGAAAGTTCTTTTATTTCACTGTTTTCACACATGCTATGCTGTTGGTGTGCGGATGTAAAAAAAACCCAGATGTGTCTGCATCAGGTTTTGGCATTTTAGTGTTGGTACCAAATTTCAGAATCTGTCAGTGGTGATGAGCAAGGAGGTTGATTCTAGTGTTGCCAGCAGCTCCGGGTTAGGAAATACCTGGAGATTTGCGGGGTGGGGGCTGAGGAGGATCATGGCAGGGTTTGGGGAGGGGGGGGCAGCATCAGTGGGGTATAGTGCTATAAAGTGCACCTACCAAAGCAGCCATTTTCTCCAGGGGGACTGATCTCTGTCGCATGGAGATCACTTGTAATCCCAGGAGATCTCCAGCCACCACCTGGAGTTCAATGTTCCTTTTCACAGTGAACATTGGTGGGGATGCAACCAATGTTCCCTCTAAGCTGTGGAGGCTTGTGAGCAAACATTCTACTTTGTGAGCTACCGGCATGAAAGTTGTGAGCAAGCGATTTGGCTGCTGCATACGTTAGTTTGCTCTGGAGCCATCCTTCCTGAGCCAAGGCAAAAATGTGTGAGCCAGAGGCTAAAAAACAGTGAGCTAGCTCACACTAACTCAGCTTAGCGGGAACCCTGGATGCAACCTTTGGTTAGTCACTGTGGTCCATTTGTGGCTTAAACCACCTGGGGTTCAGCAACCCTAGCTGATTCACATTCATATTTTGACTTTCCGGTGCTTTTACAAGGCACGTGTGATTTCTGTTAGGAGAACCAGTGCAGGTTGTGCTTTGGGGGAGGCACTGTAGCTTAGTGGTAGAGCACCTCCAGTTTACGGGCGGTCAGGGAGTAGGAAACAGGAATCCATGGTCCTCAGTTTGCAAGATCCGAACAAGTTTGTTCACGATATGGTGTTTTGGAGGTCATTATTTCAGAGGGTTGCCATAAGTTAGAAGTGACTTGACAGCACGCACACGCACGTACACAGGTAGTAGGTGATGAGAAAGACCACTGCCAATTGGAACAGACAAGTGGTCTTGCCTTGGTATAAGGCAGTTCCATGTGTTTAATGGATATAGACTTTTTAACTTCAGTTTTTATTTGTTTCTTTCCCCCCCCCCCCTTTTTTAAGTGTGTGTGTGTATGTGTGTGCACATGCTTGCATGCCTGGAAGTCATAGTTGACCTCTGACAACCCTTAATGGGGTTTTGACATTTCAGAGAGGTGGCTTGCTTTGCCTGTCTCTGCATCCCAGCCCTGGTGTTCCTTGGAGGTCTCCCATCCAAGTATTTGCCAGGGTCAGCCCTGCTTAGCTTCCGAGATCTGACGAGATCGGGCTGGCCTTAGCTATCCAGGTCAGGGCTCACAGTTTTGGTTTGGTGTAGTGGTTAAGTTTGGTTTAGTGGTTAAGTGTGTGGACTCTAATCTGGGAGAACTGGACTTGATTCCCCACTCCTCCACTTGCAGCTGCTGGATGACCTTGGGCAAGCCATAGTTCTGTCAGAGCTGTCCTTGAAAGGGCAGTTCTTGAAAGAGCTCTCTCAGCCCCGCCTACCTCACAGGGTGTCTGTTGTGGGGAGGGGGAGGGAAAGGAATTTGTAAGCTGCTCTGAGACTCCCTTGGGTAGTGAAGGGCGGGGTATAAATCCAATCTCCTCCTCCTCTTCTTCATTTGTAGTCTTCATTTTGTTTTGTGGTGAAAAAAGGGATTTGAACGTAGGTCTTCCAAATCCAGTTTTAACTTGTTTTCTGTATTGCTGTGGGTAGGAATTTGTGTACAGGTTATGGAGGCTAAACAGCCACAGAACAGAGCAGGATGCTTGGCTGGGGTGGTGAGACTCTGTGGACAAAATCCAATAGGAAGTTCTCCAGTGGAAGCCCCACTTTGAAATGAATGGGAGCTGCATGCAAATAATTAAGTGCCCTGCTGGATCTGACCAGGGGTCCCTCTGGTCTAGCATCCTGTTTCCAACAGCGCTCAGCCAGATTTCTCTGGGAAGTTTGCAAGCAAGGTGAAAGTGCAGCAGCCTTCTCCTGACATTTGTACACACAGATGGTAGCCAGTGGTATATTGCCTCTGCATATGGAGGTTTTGTTTAGCTGTCACAAACAGTAGTGTTCCTGAGCAACTTTCCATGAGGTTTGAGCAAGAGAAGTTCCTAGCAGACTGGATCATTTGTCATTTAGCCTTCCTGTTTGTCTTCATGTGTGTTGAAATTTGCCTGAAATCTTTGAAATCTTTGGCTGCCTCAGGCTAGGGCACAGAGCTCTTGACCTGTGTGTACCTTTACATGATCCCAGAGTTGCACCCAACATTTTCTGCCCAAGAAACCCCGGGCATGCCTATCAAATTGTACAGCACCTCCGTTTTGGGCAGTGAAATGTCTCAGTCAACCCTGAAGACAGGTACAGAAACATGCAGTCTTGGTTGCAAGAAAACTTGGGCTTCGAAGTTCCTCTGTTTGAAAGATTCTCCCCAAGTGTCTTGCTATACTGTGGATCATGTGTCCTCACGGTACAAAACAAGAACATCCCTTTCCCTCCCTCAAATGCTGGAGGGAAATGCATTGTGGGTGTGGGCAGGGGGAGGGAGAAGGGTCTGGATGAGATAGGAAGGAGTTGGTGTCAGGGTTGGGAGGAACCTGAGATTATACAGGCTGGGGAGGAAGTGGACGAAAGAGGACTGGCTGGAAAGGGGGGGGGAGCATGGGGTTACCAAGAGTGCTAACAGCCCCTGGGAGAGCAAGGGAGAACCGTGGTGGTGGTGGCGGCGGCTGAGCTTTCTAGCCAGCAATCCTCAGGGCATTTCCCCCTCCTTCTCCTTCCTGGTCTGACTTCAAAGATCAAGAGACTGTGTCTCAGATTTCACATAGAACGCATTTCCATGAAAACAAATAAAAAGTTTTCCAGCATGTAAAAACCCACCATTTAGCACCAGCGATCCCCATTGGGGGACTGGATATTCCCAGCCCTGATGTTTTTGGGATTCCACATTATTGGTGGATTTCTGCAGGAAATAGCAGAAGTGCCACTGAAATCTTCTCTTGGCCCAGAAAGGTTTTGGATGCTCATCAAATGTGTGCTTTATCCCCCCCCCCTTTAAGGTTTACAGCAAGTTCCATCCTCTCAACAAGCTGATTCCATGACCGGGGCAAATTGTGCTTTTCTCTAGGTCTCTGCCCCAGTCCTGGACCATAGGGCAGATCTCCATTCCTTTCCCTTCACCCTGTGCCATTTGCCTTGGTCATGTCCAGGAGTTCATTGTCAGATTTGGGGTTCCCTCCACAAAGTCTAATTGACTAGCAGCCTTTGGGGCTGCCCCCTTCTAATGCACAACCGGGGCTTGAGTAGCTGGAGCTTTTCAAGCATCTGGGTGGGTCTGTGGGGCTGCAAAACGTCTTGGGTCATTAGCATTTAAAGAGAAGATTGGAATAGAGAGAGCGGGTGACTTTGATGTCAGAAAGACAGCTAGGGTGTTTGCCTTCCTGAAGCATGCAGTGGGATTTCCCTGACACAAGTCCAAAGGCTGTGCTAAGCATTTAGAATTACCATGTTGGAAGCAGCCAAATACTCCCCTGCCACAAGGCAGAGAAGGAACATCCCCCTCAGCCACAAAGTTCCACAAGCAGGCTCATGACAGACTAGCCAAGCCATGCGCTTCAAGGAAAGGCAATTATGTTAAAAGTAAGTCAAAACTTATTTTTAAAGATTCGTATTAATGATTTCTCACACTCTTTTTTGTGTTTTTGTGTGTGTGTATGCCTGAAAGTCATGGCTGATTTATGGCAACCCCTAGTGGGTCTTGGACGTTTCAGAGAGGAGGCTTGGTATTGCCTGCCTCTGCATCTGGGCCCTGGTATTCCTCGGAGGTCTCCCTGCCTGTCTTCTGAGATCTGACAGAATTGGGCTTGCCTGGAAAATCCAGGTCAGGGCTATTTCTCACACTCTTGAAAGGTAGCAGTGAAGTAGGAGGGGCTTTAGGATCCTGTACCATAGTATTGAGGATGCTAAATCCACCAAAAGAACACACAGTATGAACCATGAACTGTATATCCCAGCATCCGGCCACATGGCCACGGAAACGTCTTCGGACAGCGCTGGCTCTTCGGCTTTGAAACGGAGATGAGCACCGCAACCCTAGAGTCGGATTCGACTGGCTTTCGAGCAAGGGAACCTTTACCTTTAAGGGATTCTGGTGCATGCTGCTTGAACTGTGCTCTGCAGCACCACAGTGCCAGTGAAATGTCTTGTTCCAGTGCTAGGGTTGCCAGGTGATGGGTGTGTGTGTGTGTGTGTGCTTAGCAAGGATGTAATATCACATTGTGATGTGATATCCTGTGATGTCACTTCCCACTCGAAGTAGGCAGCATTTCTCCACTCTAACCTGTCCTTGGATATTATAGCAGCTCTATTAATGCTCTGGAGACAGCTGAGGGGCGAAAAATCCATGGAATGTAATAAATGATTGTTTTGCAGCTGCACAGTTGCTCAAAGGCTGGTCTGGCTTCCAAAAGCTTCTCATTCCTTCCCCTGTGACCCTGATTGCAGGATTTCTTCTCTCTGAGTGATTATAGGATTACAGTCAACTGCTGTACACAAAGCCCTTTGAAGTAAGGTCCCCCTCCTGTTTGGACCTGGGATGATTGCTAGTTAGCTCCCCAGCATCGATAAAT